TACCAAAGTGCGTGATTATGGTGCTTGCGTTTAATCCTTTTACAACGTGACCTGTGATGCCCTCAGTGATTAAGTTGCCTACACCGGTTTAAGTCCTTTTGCTTCTAACCTGCCTGTCCCCTCCCGTGCGCTCGCCTTGGCATGCGTGCTGTTAAGCACGATGAAGGGTGAGTGCTTCTCCTTGCATGCCACAAGCCGTACAGCATCTTCAAGAAACACAAGCTCGGCACAGCAGCACTCCGCACGCACGCCATGCGCCCAAAAGCATTTCCCCAGGATCATCTCAATGTATGCCTATATGTGGTCAGCCTACCAAGTTTTCTTAGCCAAGGCTTTTTGGGCATGGCCAGTAAGTACCAAAACTTATCCAAACAATTCACGGATACCTACTTTAACTTGCCTTTTTGCTACTGTACTTCGGCACGGCGCAAGCTGAGGAAAAACTTTAAGAACGAGTTTCACTCAACTACCCCCGCCCTTGTGAGACATCATAAGGTTGTGTAAAGGTTTGCTTTTTCACGGACATTAATAACATAGAATATGTCTCAAACTACAGCATCCTACAACGATAAAGGCAATCACAACCGCATCTATATGGGTGGGCCGTTATTGCGTGGATGTAACCAATTGTCCCACGGATTCAAATGCTCTGTACAGAAAAATATAGAGACCAGAATCGGAATTATCAACAATCAACACAGAAAATGGGTCGGCTGTGGATTTCGGATCCCAAAAACCGCTCCGGAAAATTGACAAACAGACTCAGAAATCAAAGAAACAGACTCGAAAACTGGAAAACACTGATTCTACCCCAATTTCAAAACCTCATTCGACAAAGCAAAAACTGTGGCTTTGCAATCGAACATGCGCCGACTAAGAAGCTAACTCGGATTCGTAAACCTTAGGCGCGGGTTGGAAAGCCAGTTTCGGAATCGAAATGCTTTCCTAAATTGGTGCAAGCAGTTGCTAAGTCGGAGTGAAATCTAGTTTCGAAATCCCACCTCTTGACTCGACGCACATAATTGTTGAATCGTAGTTGCGCGTGTTTCACCATTACGAATCGTGTCTCAACCGTGCTTGATCGGAAAACAAGCCCCAACTCCCACAGCTTAGCCCAAGCTGCGTCAATGCCCTCGTCCACGTACGGAGTTGTAAGGCCTGCAGCCTCTTGCCATCGAAAAGCATCTGCCTTCCAAGAATCGCAGTCCTTCGTTGGAATTACAGTACCATGGTCTTGCTGGTTCTCAAGGCGGAAGGGAGAGAGAGTAAATAGGGGGACGCGTAAAAACCATTAAAAACCATGATAGAACGACTGTCACGGAGCCGACTCTTCACTTGCCCTGACATGATGCAAGTCATTCTGTTCTTGGCAAGGCTTGAACAGGCTCACAGTCAAGAAACTGCATCTGTAGAGGCATCAATGGGCTCATGGAGCAAAGGTGAATGTCAGCGACATCTCTCAACAAGATGTGTAGGCCCAAGGCGCCCGACACTGACGTAGCATTGAATCGTTTTGAGATGCGACTTGGAATTTCAATGAGATATGAAAGGGTTCGGGATAATGTTGAACCTGATCTATTGTTGTGGCCCTCTTAACATCTTGCGGTGCTCGCTTGAAGATCTTCTGGCCAATGTTTGAAGGTCCTCTTGGATGTGCTTCGGCTTGTGGTCCCTACAAATGACAGAATCCAGACTTGCCAAACCATCCGTTTGACATCAGTCCCCGCAGCCCTCAGAAGCGGGGATCTTGTGTTTCTGCCCCCCCCCTGCAAAGGCGCGGGGGCGCAGATATCAAAAGATGCGTAACATTAGCTTGGACAGAAATGACGGCAAGTTCTGGAGATCTTCATGATCGAGATCCCCTGTCCCTGGGGTTGGCGTATTTGGGGCGCCTCCTTCAGATTCAGATTCATCTCGATTCCTGGTTACTTCCGAAGCTGAAACTGAAAATCAATGATAACTTGCAACACATGACGAGGACCCAGAGTCCACGTCACTCAAAAAAGCAGCCGCGCAGTTCAGCGCAGCCTCAGCGTTACACGAAAATACTACCTGCAAGGCCGATGACTCTTAAGGGTCAGTCGTCCTAGGGACTGCCCGAGGAGGGGCCTGGGCGCACTTCGCACAATGACTTTGGGTACTGCAGCGTGCCACGAGGCAAAGACGATTCTCTAGGCTTTTGTGCTGTTTTGAGACATTGTGCTATTGCCGCAAATGTGGTGTGTGAAACAATACCGGCCCTTGAAGGATGCCCAGGACTGTTTATTGTGCCCCTAGATAGAAAAGCATTTCCCTCTGAGCTGAGAAACGGGTCTTCTTCATGTTACTTGACGCCAAGTGGCCAGCTGCAAAGCAGTCCAAAGCATCATTACTCCTCAGCGGCAAGGGGCCTGCACTTGCATGCACCCTAACGGGGCTACTGTACTTAATGCCCTGGGCTCAGTTTCTCAATGCCTAATTTGACCCTCGAGGGTTACACAAGGCTTCTTCGCTACGAGGTGAAACTGTGATTTTCAGGCTGGCAGCTTGCCGGCTCTCCTGCTGACCCCAAGATTGAGGATGTCACGACCATGTAGTTGGCACATGGCCAGTGACATGTCAGTCAGGGCCTAGGTTCATGAGTTACGCAAAAAATCAAGCAGCGCAGAGATGCGTCTCCACCCACAGTATCACAATGTCTGATTGTTGTGCACCCGCTTTATGCCTGTAGCATCCTAGGCCCAGATTAGGTCACCAACGGAATGGGCATGGCATGCTCGCAGAAGCAAGATCGCAAGGGACCCTGAAAATGCAGGCCAATTTCCAACCCACAGATACACCAAATGCACATAGCATATCATTGCATAGGATAGGCTTTGAAAGTCCCATGAGAATCGTGCTTGGGCTGCATCAAAGGATGGCTACTTTGAGGTCCAAGCGAAGGTGTATACGGGTTCTAGGTAGGATAGCACATTACCTTATGCTCAGGTGCACGGATCCACGGATCTACAGCCGTTCACCCGGCACAACGTCCGGGTCTCTGCAGTGACTTCATCTGCTAGTTGCTACGAGGTATGGAAATGTATGGAATGCCCGTGGTAAAAGATCGGAAGACGGCATTACTTCAAATTCGGCAGTGAAGGAGACAAGTGATCACTAATTCCATGTTGAGGCATTTTGGAGGTAGATAACATTCTACTTGAAGGGAGCCCTGTAATGTTGGTCGTTGATGGTTGTTGTTCAAGCGTCTACAATACTTCCCTAATTGCTGATCCGAGCCACGGCCAGGCGAAGAACGAACTATTTCAAAAGCGCCGGAAGCTCGACCAGCATCGGGCCTGCCAGGACTTCGTCCAAGCGCAACCGCAAGCGGAATGCCCAAGTACGAGGCGCGCACCATGCGTAATGTGAAAATCAGGACCCTCTTGGCTGCAAAACATACACCCTGATAAGAGCCGACATATTATATTAACCCCCCCTTAACCCATACCAAATCTACCCTATACCAATGCTAGACCGACCTGATGTCATGTTTTGTGGGTTGCCTCGAAGTCGCACAGCTGGCTTTAACATGAAAAATGCAGGCTTGGAACTTACCAGCTGGAGCTGTCGTCGCCTGACAAGAAACCCAGCTAGCCTCCGGGTAAGACATAAAAGGACCGTGCGCTCACAGCTTGTTATCTTCAATTACTGAAGCCATCTGTTCTGGCTACCTGGAACTTCTAGGTGAAGTTTCCAACCAAACCCTCGGGTGCCGATTGAAGTGGTCCCTGTTGTCCATATAATTCATACCCCCCACTTAAGAGGGGTAGGGCAGCGGGAGGTCTGCTGGAAATCTGCTCGGACTCATTTCCGACAAAACACATGTGCAGGGGGTGTTGGACCACTCTCACAAGTTTATAGACTCATTTGGTACATTATATGAAAACACAATGCTACACCGCACTATGCCCCAAACAGTCAGGAGGGTGGGAAAATGAGTAGGGCGGAGAGTGACTGCCCACCCCCCAGCAGGGCCCATTATTGAGCGGGGGCGGTTATACTTCCATGCACTAGCGATGCTGGCATTTTCTGGTTTCCTTACAAGCGCTCGATCAAATCAGATTGGGAACTCGCACCAAGCATAAAATGATGAACCCAAATGTGTTGGCCTGAGTCACTAGAAGCAGGAGCTCATTATGCTGAAGATTGTCTTGGGCGTCCATGCTGGACGGGTGCCCAGGCAGTTTCAAGGCGCACGTCTGAGAGAAAGGGAATGCACGCGCCTGCTGCCCAGAATACTCCGTCGGCTTGAAAATGGCGATTGAGAATGAGCTTGGACCCAAACGGCGTAGATACCGGGACGCCTCCTATGGGATCTGATAGAACCCAGGGTTCTCATATTAGGATCTATAGTGGCCAGGCATTGCATACTACGTGATGCGTGACTGGCTACATCTGAGCTTCAACCTTCTAAGGATGGCAAAGAGGTGTTGTGACTGGTCTGAAGTCTACACCATCTAAGCAGCTCCTGTGAATATGGAGATGCTTCTCAGAAGCCCAGCATTCAGGATTCACGGCTGGAGCCTGGAACAAGGAAGATAAGCCTCCTTTTTGACCCTTTCCGTTGCTAATCCGTCTTGAGAGCATCAGGTCGATCGTGAGAGTGGCACCTGGCAAAGGTGCTCCATGCAAGCATACAAGGCACCTGCGAGCTTGCCGTCCGCTAGGGCTCCGCGCCGGAGGGTCAGCTGTCTGCTTCCTGCTGTAGGGGCTCGACAACTCAGGTCCATGGTTCATTCCAAGCAAGCACCCACGTGCACAACCGGCAGATGCTGTACAGCACATCCTCGGAACAACTCGGAACTCCTTTCGCGCAAGCAACTTTGTTTCACATATCGCGGTGCTCGCTGACTGCTGGTCTCAGGTGAAACAATGTGAAACACATCGACAAGAGCACCCCCTTGCGCCAGTGCTTAGGATCTGGTGTGGAGCTTTCAAGGAGAAGGATGCAAGTCACAAATCGAAGCGCCAGATTGGATCTAGCCCGGTGATAGCAAAGCCGCCGGGGGTGGGACACGAGCGCCCCATATCTTCACCAGGTCGTTGTTCATCTGCTGCAACCTTGAATCGAGTCAGCATGTGCAAGTCGCTGCGGCTATTCAGTGAGCATGCATCATGTCAAAGTATGGCTTTAGAAACTTCACTAGCTGCACTTAGCTGCACTAGCTCGACACGGAGGCCGCAAGAAAAGACCGAGAAGCATGAGAAGCTCCTCCACGGAGGAGCCCCAAAGCCTCCTGCTTTGAACGACAAGCTTGTTTTCCATCGTGAAGGTGCTTATGCGCAGCTGGCAAAGCTCCGTACCCATGCCCATGGTGACGGTGAAAGCGGCTGAGTTCTCGAAGTTCTTGGCGTCGATAACATTGGACACCTTCTCCACTTTATAGCTGGCGTTCGTGAAGGCACTTGAGATGTTAGAGGTGAAGGATTCAATTTCCTCGTCCTCCGAAAGGTTTTCTCTCGGAGCAAAGGCAAAGTGCCTCGAGTTCATCCTTCCAACATCATGCACAATTGGCCTGCCCCCAAACTCCCACGCTTTTGCCATGACTTTGAACTGGTCTAGTGACATCTCTTGAGACTCGCGGGCCATGTAGCGTCGCATGAGCTCTGCTACACCTTCTGGAGTGATTGTTGCATTTTCATTTTGAAGACTGCTTGTTAGCTCGACCGCTGAGAGACGCCCACAACCACTAGCGTTGGCCGCGAGAAAGGCAGCCTCTGCGCTGTTGAACTTCCTGACGAAAAGCGCCAGTGCCTCCACCACGCCTGTGCACTTCAGCGACAGGTTAGGGCGTCGTGCACGAAGCTCCCGTACAAAGTCCAAGGGCGCAGACAAGTCACCAAACAACCAACTCAAGCCCGGAAACAGTTTCAGTACAGCTTCATCACCTGCCATGGCAGCCTGAAGCTGTTGAAACGTTGGCCGCTTTTCTGGGCTTCGTGCCCACAAGCAGTTGATGAGCGCTTTAAGTTCCGAAGCTTCAGCAAACTGCTGAAACTCTTTCCTATCCCACCATTTTGAGCTGGCACCCTCATCGGTCAGAACTTTTAGCCCTCCGAAGTATGGATGAAATGGCGGAATGGGCTGCTTCAACAGGAAAACTAAAATCCCAACCGTGAATACATCTGCTCTCTCGCTATCATACATCTTCTGTCCATACTCCGGCGCATGGTAGAGATCAGTGCCGACCGCGGCTGTTTGTTCTCGCATGAACTTTGAACTCTGCGACTTGAGTGTCGGTGAAGAAGTTGTCTGCTCATGGTGATCCTGCGCTTCTTCCTGGAGCCAGTGCACCAAGTTTGCACACCCCAAATCGATGATGACCACGTGGCCATTCTCGTCAATCAGCAGGTTGTCTGGCCTCGAAAGCTCATTCATACTAATCCGCCAAAAGGCCCCACGCTGCCCCTTCTGGCGGCACAGCAAAGACCACCAATACTGACTCGTTTGGCTATCCTTTTTTGAGCGATGCTAGGCCGGTGGACCCGCCTTCCAACCCGTATACCCCCAGGACATATTACAATCAGATGCCATTCGCACGTCTTATGCAGAAAAAACGAGAACGCTGTCATCACAACCAGCTATTGAAGTTAAGAATTGAATTGCAAAGTTTCAGGAAATGACTCGGAATGCCATGCAAAGAAAGCAATTTCCAAGAATTCCTGGTTATCCTGGTTGTAGTAGGGGCTGTCTTTCGTCAGGAGACTTGTGATGGAAGAGAATGAATGCTAGAGTTATCCAAAACGGTAACTCAGAAGTGCTTGGGAGTCCTCTGCTCACATCGACATGTCAGAACTTGCAGAATACCGACACTGCAGCATACTGGTGCCACAAGCTACTCTGAAGCTTGAATTCTAAAAATTGATGACCTACAAGTACAACGAAATCCGCCAACCTTGGGGGGCGTGTTGGATGGTTTCAGGAGACGGAGAGGGTGAAAACCCTCTTCTTTTCTCCCTTATAGCGTATCCCGGTTTCCAGGTCCCCACCAAGGCAGCCGTCTCAGCCAACTGGCACTCAGAAACGGCCCCCGACATTAGGGGTCCTGCACCATCCGCTGTTGTGGATTCACTGAAAACGGCAAAGCTGCGGAGTCCCAGCAGCCTAGCTTGAACTGATCTTGTTAAGCTTAGGAGGTCCAAAGGCCTGGATGGCTGCCCGAGCATGCTCATCAGGGGCCACCGCAAGCGGTCTGGCTTGTTGTGCGATTGATTTCCTGCCCAACCACTGAAAACAGCAAGGCTGCGCAGTCCCGGCAGCCTAGCTTAAACTAGTCTTGTTGCGTCGAAACATCAATCAAGGTTTAGGATTTAGGCTTTAGCCGTCGCGACTTCTCCGTGCATGATAGGCGCTTGGGGGCCCAAACCCCCAAGGCCGGGGTCCCAAACATGCTTTCCTGTGTCTGTGGCTGAAATTCAGCCAGGAGGCTTCAAATCTCTGTGCGTGATTCCACATTTGCAGAGCTCAGACATTCCGTTGATGATGTCATGCACGAGGCGTCTCATGGTTCCATCGCTCAATGCTGCTGCTTCGGCTGTGATGAGATCAAACAGCTCGCCATTGGGAATTGCCTCCATGACAACAATATGCCTCGCGGGATCCCACGCAGAAGACCCCCGGCCAATGTGCGTGGCAATCCCAACATAGCTGATGACATTGGGGTGCTGAAACACTTGGAAGGGTGCCTGCCGAAGGAAGCTCAGCTCACGATCATTGTCCCTTGATAGGAATTTCAGGACGTAGCGATGTCCAGTAGGCTCGTGTGTTGCTAAGTAAGACTGCCCAAATGCGCCAGCTCCCAAGAAGTTGTCAAGTGTCCACCGCTCTCCAAAGACTGTGAATGCAGTTGGTCCAAACCATGGCTCATGTCCGCCTTTTCCCTCAAACTTCTTCTCCGAGCGGGAGACAATGGCAATGTCTGCAGGCTTCACAATCGGAATATGGGCAGAGCCTTCTTGTCCTAATCTCTGTCTCCAGAACCCTGTGAGAATGGCAGCCGGACTTGCAACAGGCGAAGCCTCAGCTAGAGCAAAGGCAGCTGACATGAATTGAATCAAAAGCAAAAGCATGTAACTTGCGCTGCAGTCAGGAACTCCGGTTGAGCTTCCTGGGTCTTCCAGTGCCTGCAAGTGAGGGCGCATCTGCAAAGAGCCCGCAAGCCCCAAGCACCGCCAGCTACGTGCAAGCGAGCTGCTGTGACAAGCTTGCTGCGCGACTCAGCACTTAGGTGCTGCAGTGCTGTCTGCAAATCATCCAGGGAGCAGGATTTTACCTTTGCGCATGCATGTGCAGCATTGTGCAGCTAACCAAGACACCGTCAGACACGGCCCAGCTGCGGACAGCAGAGATCAGCAGAGTGCTGAGGTTTCGATGCTTCGGATGTCATGGGGCTTTTCGTACCGGACTTTTGGTGGCCCTGTGAAAATACAAATGCCCTCCGAGGTACTGCTCCCGCGACAGCCACAGAGCATGCAGAGCCCATGGCAATCGCAGGGCGAGATATCGTCTTGAGCCAGGGAGGCCTTTAATTCGCGCCAGTGATTCCGCAGCCAGAGCATCTAGCCAGTACTTGCCGGCATTCCGCTCAGTGCAGCTGAGGGCTTAGCCAGTCCAGGGTCGAAAGGCCCTTTCTGCTTGACAAATTGATAGCCTCAGACAGCTGGACCGTCAAAGACTAAACTGGAAAGATAGCCCCCATGCCATGCGTGGTAATCTGCACTCCGTACTTGATCATAGCATTTCTTGAAAGTCTAAGAGCACTACCCATCACGAGAATCATTGCAGCTGCCTGAGGTGCTGCTCAGGCTCCAGTGAAAAGCGTTGCCAGTGCGAACCAAATCCCAGATCTGCCAAGTTGCAAAGATTGGGAGCTTGAAGTTTCCGAGCAAATCTCCAGGTGGAGGCTGGTAGACTTGCCTTGTGCCCAGCATCCGATGGCATGACAAAAGGTTCCCCTGCTCATGCCACGTTCGCTTCGTCTTGTCTGCAAGGTTGCTGCAACACAAAATTCGCATCGTGCGCAACTATTTAATTCACAAGCTGGCGTGGGACAGCGTTTTCATGAATGGCAGCTGCGTATTGTTGCTCGACAGTTAAAATGGTGAGAATACCTCCGTCACCTGATGCCGCCGATGTGTGCTGTGTAAGTTGGCGTGTTGCGGGCCTGCTTCTGCCACCTCCCGTTCAAGTTTGTTCCCACCGAGTTTCTTGATCCTACCTACGGTCTTTCGAAATCCTGCTGCTTAGCATACGCCGATCACAGAATGCCAGGTTGAATCGTTGAAGCACAAACGAACTGACGGATGAGACCAAAGAAGTATGATGTCAAGGCTGCCGCATCATCAGCTCAAAGATCTCAATTTCCATGCCGTCCTGACTGCACAGAAAAATCCAGAACGCTGTACCGATGTCTGGGCTGTCCTGGGACAGTAGTGCAAGAAGGTCTCCTCCAACAGCTGCCACTCAATACCCAGTTGGGCTGGTTATGATGTCTACGCCATGATTTGCAGCAGGGCTATATGAAGGGGCAACAGAGCAGAGCCTTCTTGATACCGTCGCTGGACTGCCTGGCACATGCACTAGCAGTCCCAACAATGCGATGCTTGTTAAGCCTTGCTGCTGACTGGAACCTAAACCTGGTAGTAGCTTTCTCTGATTTCGTGGTCCGGTTCCCCATTTGTTGTAGAGACGACACAGATGCAGTATTTGCAAACAAATCGGAGCCACGGCATGGCGATGGCTGCAGCTCCCCTTGGCTAAGAAACAACCTCTTCTCGGTTGCTGGGTCCACGCGTGTTATTTGCTGCGGGACACTCACTCCGGTGAGAGCCGAGTATCCCAACCAACTAGATGATAGCCGATCCTGTCACTGTCCCTCCCGTGGGCATAGGCAGAGCAGAACTGGGCATGGCAGTGGCGCAGTATGTGAAGCACATTGGGTGGCCAGCGTGTGGAAGGTTGCCATGAGCAACCCGGCACCAGTGTCCGTATCCTCTAGTGGTTGGGATGTCGTGTTGTGGCCGCGACAACCAAGGCTCTACTCTGGACATACGCCGCGCAACCACACCATCAAAGAGTAGCAGGAATGAGCAACAGTGGATGCGAGCAGACCAAGGAGACCGCGCAATACGTGCAGAGCTGATGAGTAATTGAATGTGCCAGTACATGTCAGTACTGCGACGCGAAGTAATTATTGCCTAGAGGGCAAGCCCTAGCATGGCGAGGCCGATCACCTTCATGAAAGGGAACTTGTCTGCCATCAGTTATTTGTCGTCGGTCTGTTGATGCTCGCATGCTGGCAGTTCACCTTTTTCAGTCCGCAAAGCAGATCTGCGTCTGTTGCTTGCAAGGTTTTTCCCTTCTGCTCCAGGCGTGATGATCTGCTCACTTCCCGACAACGGATAGCAAAGATAGTTACCGAGGACCGTTTGGGCAGGGCTTTTTACATGCAACCTGTAATGCCAAACGCGGCTGCAAAACCCAATCTCGTAGAGGCCGGCTGCTTCTTCTCCATGCGATAGGCGAGACATCCCGCGCCTTGCAGCGATGCAGGAATGGCATGGACTGGCCATGTTCTCTGGCATAGGCTTGCTATGATTGTCTGATTGCACTTGCCATGCGACTGACACGCTGCGTTAGTTCACACGAAGCCGGACAAGGACAGTGAAGCGCTCCGGAAACAGCTAAACACTCAGGTGCTGCGCAACGGCGCTTTCCAGTTGTTGCACCACATAGCACGGCTTTTCCGCAACGTTCTGCTTGTACATTGTTGTTTGGTTCACCACAGCCTCCGCCGACTGGTGTCTGGAAAAAAAAGACCAGGATGTGCTGACAGTATTACATCCTCCCTCTCAGATCCATTTTGCGAGACTGTCATCCCTCCCTCTCGCTCCCTAACACGCCTGGGACAAGGCAACCAAAATTCAATAGAATCTGTGCTGAAAAGAAGGTATGCGCGATTCTCGCCGCTGCGAAAGGTATGTAAAGAGATATCAATTTGAAGTTGTCCGGAGCACATGCAGGGCAAGCACCCCTATCCAGAGGATGTAAACGCAGGATGCCAGAACAAAAAATTGCACGTTCAGAGACTGGTGTGTCCGCATTGCAGGCAGACGGTGCTGCGTGTTATTAATAATTGTTATGAGATGCGACGAGCCAAGTCCCAAATTTGAGGATGTCAAAATCTCCAAATTGGCTTCCAAATCTTCAGCACTGAAGTTCGGAAGCCAAGGCAGCGCAGCCACTGCCGCAGCATGGTTCCATAGCAGCATAGCTAAGCTCAAAGCCACGGCAAGCCTCGCAAGGATCATAGCTCAACATTTTCGGAAACACTGCTGAAACCAAATTAAACGGGCACAAGTGGCGGGGTTATGCGACCCCATTCAGTGCGACTTCACATCATGTCCTGCAGACGCTGGATTCCCCAAGAATGTTACAAGGAAGTCCAGCTGTCTGACCCGTGCGTCTATGTTCCTGAAAGCTATGTAAACATTATGAACTCGGAGCCCAAACTCCCAAGTCCAAACTCGGCACGCCCGGCTCCTGACGCCTAAAATGCCGCAGAAATCTAAATTCGGCGCTCAAATTCCCTGAAGCCTACCTACATCAGAGCGCCCGGCCTCTGACTCCTAAAGATAAATTCGCAAATTCCCTGAGGCCTTAATCCGGCCTGCACGGCCGCTGTCCAACAGGCTTCTTGCTCATAGGGGGCCCACACTTATACGTTCTGAAGGGGGTAAGTCAAGTTCTAGGTGGTAGGCAACCCTACATCCCAATTTGAACAAACCTATGGCTGAGCATGCACGAAGGCAGAAGGACATGCAGAAACAGCAGGAAAGGAGCGAAGTTGAGAAAGCCAAGGAACTAATGACATAGAAACAGAGACTGCGTGGCTGCTTCATTCAGGTTTTTTGAACCCAGATCATGATGAACGACGTGTATGACTGTCATGGGTCACTCCGATTTTGAGCTGCAACGGTTTGATCTGTATGACCGCATGTTGTATACTGACTTGCTTTCTCGTTGGTCACTGTACTGGCATTGGACATTTGTTATGAGGGCGTTGTGGGTGGGGGGGGGGTTTAGTGGTGTAGAGCTTCCGACTGCTGACTAGCCGAGGACGGCTACCAGTACAATAAATAAACCCGCGTGTGAACTTTGATGCGGGCACTGCATCTTCCTAAAAGCCCCACTTCTGCGTGCACGCTACGTTTACCTCTGCACTCCGAAGGATGTGTCGGACGGGTCTTGTTCCAACTTATAGCGCATGCAGACATTGACTCATTCCCCGGTCTTTCTACAAATGCACTTTGCCTAAAACATCCGCAAGCAAGAACCTAATTCCTGTACACAACATGCAACCCTCCGTACAATTCAGCTCCTCACGGGCCACACCAGCCAACTGCGTGCCAAACAGGGAGGTGGGGTACCCGAGCTCCATGAGAGATGGTACGTCCGAGAGATTCCGAGGGCATGCGACAGATCAGGTAACGGACAGGCAAGGCCACCAGTGTTCACTACACATGTCTTGGGCACTCCGATGTCCAGAACGCGTGTGCATGAGCGTCGCAGCAGAAGAGCTCCGGTTGCAGGCATGTGCGCGCCGTTCGGTCGAAAGCGCACTATCAGAGAGCAGTAGCATGCATTTGGCGGCTACGAGGAAAACAACAACTTGTTCACTTTCGATAGCAGCTTCACGAATTTCACGATTCACTCTGGACAGCTGCTTGATAAGCTTCCGACAGAATCATCCCAACCTGATTTTGCAGTGGTTCGGCAGCTCATTGACTTGTGAGTGAGGAGTACCAGCGCTGCTTTCAGGTGCAGACCTTTACCCACGTGCGACATGTTGAAAGCGATCATCTGACAGTGAATCATACAATTTCATGCTGCATCCTCCTTGCTACCTTGACAGACCGAGTGTCTTCAGATTCTCATGGCCTCTGACCGTCCGCTGAAGTTTCGGGACATCTCCAAGGCTAATGCGAATCCTCGAACCTGGGCCATGGATTCTCAAGTCTATCTATGCATTCCAAGGTTGTCAGACGCTCAGCGGCCCGACAGAGGACAACAGCAAGGGTCTGCGTGAGGTCCCTTGAGGGAAACGATGTTCTACCTGCTCAGTGGTCAACAATGTTAGCATCATGTGCTGACACCTCGCTTGGAGGTGGTGATGGCAAATGGCTTACTTTAAGTCTCGTAAGAAGGCGGGTCATGCGCATGCCCTCGCAAAGCCTTGCAGTCCCTTTTGTCGCGCGTTGCGAACACCCACAGCGTCCCATCCTGAGCGCACTGGTGGTGCAGCCTGAGCTATAATCCTGACCCTGCCTGGTCGGCCGCAATGACTCTGGACCTCTTCAATACCACCACAGCTCTCACGGTGCGCTGCACTCTGCATCGAGAGGGCCAGGCTGCAAGGCCGTATCAGTCACAGCCACGTGAACCAAGGAGGTTTCGTACCTGATTTTCGTCTTTGGCGTGTTCATTCTGCACCTGACAAACCCCAAAAACGGGTAGCCTCACAATATGCAACTACCAGAGGAACGACACGACACGGCCTTCCAGCGCAGAAAGCCTCTGCAAATGTCATGGCCCAAGGACGCCCATCAGGAAGAAATGCATCTTTGTAGCAAGGAACACCCATACTGTAAAAGCTTTCAAAACCCCCCCCCCATGCGACCTGTCACGGAGCGCCAGCCCATGTTCATATGTCATGCAGAAGCTTTCCCTCAAATCATGACAAGGTCAACAATAATGTGTGACGTCACAACAGTTGTTTACAAGCACGAGGGCAGAGCAGGGAGGCGTTTCTGCATTAGCAGCTCTACTGGCGCACTTGTGGCAAACGAAACTTCGAACCTGGAACATGAACAGAAGAGACACCAGTACAACTGTTGTCGTGATCGGCAATAAGAAACATGCTAGCCCAACAGTCGCTTTGTCCAGGTCAATGTATCCCCACCTGAGATGAGAGCCAAACACCAGGCCGCACGTCTGCAAGGGAAGGGAAGATCGGGGTCGTCACGTGCCGCGGTACATGTGTGGGCTCTTGGCTATGGATTTTGCAGAGTCCTCTGGAAAAGATCACCATGCTAGGCTGCGAGCAGCCGACCGAGGCCCTGGCTTATGGCCAGCCACGTACACTACATTTCCCAGGTGTGCGCTGATGCTGCCAACCTCAGACGCGGGATGCAATCCAGGTGTCACGTCTTGCTAAGAGAATTCAGAAATCTCTTGTGATTGGGCACGCGCCGGCGCGCCGCTGCTCACTCGAATCCTGCATATGCGCTTGTGGCCCGCAAATTGCTGAATCAGAGCAGAATTCGGTGGCTCTTGGATTTTTCCCGTCTGCTGCCACAGGTACATCTAGACAAGCTACAGCTCTTTCAGAGCCGAAGGGTTCTCTGCCTCAGGAAAGGTTGGATGCAAAGTTGATCAGGCTGTAATGTCTGTTATGCAGCTATGCAACTATGCAGCTGACAAGTTGCGTGATATGTTTCAAAGTCATTCCTTTTCAAGCTAAGGCTCCGCCCACGCAGTCCACGAATCAAGACCCCCTTCCAGCCGGTAAATGCGCAACGGGTCAAACTCGAAGACATCCTGAGCACAGGCATGTCATGTGCACAAGAATCACAAGAGCTCATGCAGCTCACAGCACCTTCAGAGTTTGACTCGACCTGGCCCGATGCTGCAGGCCAATCTGGCATCGGCCAGTCAAGGCGAGTCTGCCAAGTTTTGCATAGCCTAGCCTTTTATGTCTTGACATATATGGCCTTTGACCAGCCAGTGGCATTCAACTTTCCTGGCCAAGGCCTGACTACTAGCGATGCCAAGACATCATCAGCGTCAAGCTCTGTCAGCGAACATGACAAATAGCACGTCATGGACATCCGCCCTTGAACTGAGGCAGCATCGATGAGCATTGCTGCACACATGCCTTGGCTTGCTCCGACATAATTTTCACATGCGGTGACACTTCTGAGCTCTTCACCGACCACAATAATCACAACAAGGACAACCATCTTTCACCAAAGGCTCCACAGTTCCCACTAGTACCTCCGTGGGTTGAAAATGTTACGATCGGGCCAGGGCTGTCTTTCAGCCGAGACAGGCCATGTAGCAATGTGTGAGGCCGTGATCGCAAATCGCCAAAGCTGACGTGAAAGGCTTTTGGAACAGGTACCAATTTGCGTTCATACTTGGCTTCCACAGCCTCACGGCAGTCGACCGTCTGGCATGCCCCTGCGTGCAACCAGCTGGCTAGCTCGCTGGCTTCAACCTCTGGAATGCAGTCGGGCACAGAATTCGCATTTCCTTCATCATAGTCATGCTCCCACTCGTCCACCGCCGCACGGACCAGCTCCTGACAGGCATGAATCTTCTTAATTTTGACCCCCGTCTTAAAACATTGCGGGCCTTTGTGGACGAGGATCTCATTGGCCACGCTTTTCTCCCCAGATCCATTGTGGCACAGTGGGCAAGTCCAGCCCCATCTTTCAGCTTGACGTCACTTGCTTCCCGCATTGACGCTACCGCCAATCCATCAATGTAAGCCTTATGCACAATTTTGAAAACTTCGGAATCTGCCCTCGAGCCAGCTTTGTCTGGATGATGCAGCCGCGCTAGCTCGTGGTACGCCTTCTTCACACTTGCCACGTCCACTTCTTGCACGTCTAGAACTCTCTGCCACCCTTCCAGCGCCGCTGCTTCAATGCGCCGCCGAGATTTTTCAGCATGCGCCCGTTGAGCTTGCTGAGGATGGCCGCCTGTATGCAACTGACTCTTGCCAGTCATCTCTGGGCCTGTGGTCTTGCCATCTAGCCGCTCTAGCCGATCTTGGGGCCATCCTGGACTTGCTGAGACGCCCTGCGTGAGGCCCTCAAGCAACTCCAACTCGTCAAAATCCCAACTCATGCCGGAATGCAGCGCGTCCCGTAGCAACCTTCATGTCCAGTGCTTGGCCGAGGCAGGCATGGCATGGCTCCCTCCCTGCTATAGGCTTCTAGCGAGCTGCAGGCTGCAAAAACTCACAGGTCCAACGGTCTAACAGTCCTGAGCCCTGACGCCCACATTGCACATGCCGGCCTTCCATGCAGAGTTCCATTTCGGGTGAAAACCTGCACCAGATTGCACCAGCTTGCTCAAGTTCGAGTGGCTGCAGGGCGTGCTAATATCTTTCATGCGCAGACATTCGGCGCGTAATGTTGCATTCTCTGAGGCAGTAACAGAGATCCAACCGACCTTAATTAACATGCCTTTACATTGGCATGCTCCTACCCAATGCGCAATTTGTTGAACAATTTTCCCGGGGGTGCGGCCGAATCTCCTGTGACGAAGTACTTGACGCCCTGTGTGGAGGTCATGATGAACGCCTTGGGGCGTTCGTGCGTCCTCAAAACACTGAAAACGACTTCGACCTTCATGCATTTCATGTGCTCACCGAAGCTCCGGCAGTCAATTGTGGCGGGGACAACTGGCTCAGATTGCCATCAGCTACTAAAGGTACCCGAGTGGCCTGCACGATGGAGTCATTTGACGAGACTTGCTTTGCAACTCTCACCCGAGGCACTTGCCAAATTAAATTGCACAGTGATGTTCGCCGGAGAGCCCAGGTGGCTTGACACCCTGCGTCGCGTGGCTTTCCCGACTCTCTGGCATTGATGAATGGGCTACTGGATCGCACTAACCTAAGCGATCCCTTTGGTTCCTGCATGTTGCGCCGCGCTGCCCTGCATTCGCAAGGTGTTCACCTTTGGCACGCCTTTGGCGTAGACTGCGGCGTCACAACCCTGGAAGCGGACGTTGCCAACGTTCGCTGGAAGCACCTGAAACGTTGCCTGTGCATGTTGCGGTTCTTTGGGGTGGTGAGAGGAGGGACTGAATCTGAATTTGAAAGTTGATCCAGTACAAACAGTGAAGCACATAAGCCAACTTCGGCAAAGCAATTCAGCTCAATGCTCTGTACGGCCTTGTTACACAAAGTAAATGATTCGGGGTCTGCTCATGCCGTCATGCATGCTTCAGAAATGATCGAGATGTTCGAGACCCTCGTTACAATAGCAGGAGCCATGTCTCAGCCGCAGGTCATGTCCGTATCTTTGCGTATCTTTTCTGAACCCAAGACCCTTCGCATGCCTCACTTGTGGATGGTGTTTGTGTTTGCGATTGACCCATGCAGTATTTGCATTGCATTGACGTATACTGTAAGTTGTGTAGTTGTCCCGTGACTGCCTTCTGGCCTCAACGAGCTTCTATGATGGAACTGGCACATAAACATACCCACGATATCCCACGATAAACACAGTAAACGGGGCAACTCAGCAATCTATTTTGCAAACTGCACAAACGACGAATGGGCAGAGAAGGATAGCAAAGTGTGGTGGGGAAGCTGCGTCTGAGACTACCGCCTGCGGCACCAACATCAATGTCGGGGAAGAATCGGGAAAAGACAAACAAGTATTTATTCCTGGAGGACACAAGTTGATCCTTGCCTAATGACTAGTCACGTCCTCTCTTTACAACGGCTGCTATGAGGGTTGAAGAACCACAACAGCAATGGCCAGCAACAAGCGCCGCTCGCAAGTTGCCGGGGAAAAACATCGAGGACACAACTAAATGCTTGCTAAAAGCCTTCTGGCCCGATCGAATTGAACAAGCCTCAACGCAGTTTTGTGGAAGCTCTGCCACCCCGCACTATGATTGCTCTTACAAATTTCACCCGGGCCCAACGCCACGCACAAGACTTGTCGCATGGAGAAGCTTGCATGGCTACTTTAAGCACCCATGATCGAGCACAAAGCGTCTATGAATTCCATCTTGCTGGCCACTGGCTACACTTGGCATCTTCAGCGTCAGAGCAGTGCGAAGCTCGTTCTCTGCTCCTGAAGCACGATGGCTCGCTGACTTTGCACATCAAGAAAAATGATGCCCCACACAGCAAGTGATTTCACTGATAGGCTACCTTTTCGCCTCCTGCGTTGATGACTACTTCATTGTATTGACATGCTGAACACTGGGTAGCTTCATGTTGTAACTCTGTCGAGACCTGAGTCCAAGAACTGCAGAGGCGAAGGTTCTGGATTGCAAGTCCTGTGAGAAACCCTCGGGAACTAGAATGCTCTCTTGGCTACAGCCTCAGCACTTGCCGCACCTACACATGGACTGCGCACAACATGTTCTGCCGCTCACTTTGTTTGGACTGAGGAGACTGCGCTTCAGCTCGCTGCGAAGCAACAGTTGGCTTGACCAATAAGATGAAACGTTAATCTTGGCGTATGCCTTCCAATTCTGCAAAGCTTCTCGAACCTTCCGCGCTTGCGGCGAGTCTGGCTCCATATTCCGAAACCTGATCATGGTGTGGATGAGTGCCCATCATAACATCCCATGGTCGAACAATGAAGCGAAGCTAAGGGCAAGACTTTGACATGCTTGGCTGGTTCCTCAGCTGGGAAACATGAAAAGATAAAGCTTGAGACAACACGTGGTGCTCAGCAGCTCAGCGATCCCTGCCGCATGCCATGACACGCTGTATGACTGCTTGGGGCTTCCAGAACCTGTTTTGAAGCAGGTCTTTCCGAAGGAGCCGGGTTTTTGAGCATTCATTTGCTGCAAAAAACGGTTTCTGGAACCAGCCAATCCAAAACCTGTAGCAAACCCGTATAAACCTATATGGAACCCGGAACATCCCGTTGTAGAAAATCGGGGTGCTTCTTGCCTTCCAAGAACCAGGCTTTCTTTTTGAAAACCTGGTTTCTAAGCCTTACCTGCTTTAGAGTTTAGAGCAGGTTTTGGTAGGGGTGGTGTTCTATGCCTGCATGACTGGTATACTGCACGCATGAGCAGGAGCACTTGCACGGTATTGGCGGGCTGTGGCAAGCCTGGCCGTTATCCAACTGGCTGCGCCAAGTTCACAGGAGGCATCAAGCCACACGATCCAGTTTTTGAGCAGCAGGCTCCCAAGTTTGGCTTGTGGTTGAGTCCTCTGTCTTTGCCGAGGTACGGCAAGTCAGGATTCCTCACGGCCTTTTCAGGAGTACGTGTAACATTTAGTCTCAGCTCTTTCGCATGTCAAAAATGACATCAGTCACGTGCATGAAGCTGTTAGACTTTGGTCTGCCGTTCCCCGGTTTTGATTGCTGTCACTGGCAAGTTCACCCTGGTCGGCTGTTGGAATCACCCGACATAGCATGTCTGGTCGGCAAGATTCTCCTTCTGCCCTGCCCAAAAGCATCTGCCCTGCCCAAAAGCAGGACTGCTTACAAAGAGGTCGTTGAAAGGGGCGAGATGTTTTTGCCGGAACGGTCCTGGCATATTCGGGTGTTCGAGGCACCGAAGGCTGGGACACAGAAGGGAGGTTTGGAATGAGAAGGCACAAACAAAGATACATGCCTGTGCCGGAACAGGCCAAAACCAAACACCATGATGAAGAGTCCAGTCCCAGCAGCATGACGCCCCGAACCGCAGTTTTTGCGCACGGAGGCTGCGTGACAGTGGCACGCATGGAGCGAGGAGATGCCCTGAGTTGTCAAGTTCTGTGCAAATAGCTTGCCATCCTGATTGGGGTTCTCAGCAGGCGGCCAGCCGGAGGGACTCCCATCATCATGCTTCTGCAGGGGTATCCCCGCAGCGAGGCGGATCTGGCCAGAGGCCAGGTCAACCTCAGGCTTCATCGCGGCAAAGTGCAAGTCACCTCATGATACCTCATGAACCTCGAACCTTGAGCAGGCTTTGAATAAGTACTTGGGGACCAGCTCTTTTCCGCTCTGAAGCAGAGAGCGCCCGGGAAGGTAACTCACCCATTGACTTGCTTGTCTGAAGCTCTCGCCTCCCAGCACGCTCTGTTGTGTTCGCTTCGCGACTTTCCTAGAACCTACCGATCAAGCCGGCCTCCGACGAGAAATTTCCAGAGATGCTTGCATGCCAGACCTGCAGTGAGCTTTGGTGATCGCCGTCAGCCCTTCAGCCTTCAGTACGCCATGCCTTTGAAACTTACCACATCGCTGGAAGAGAACCTGGACACAGCGTAAAGACCTGGCCTTGATACCGTAGGGTGTTGAAATCCATACAACAACATGACAGTTCGCAATATGAGCAGCAACCTTACCCTCAAGCTCCCGCAAGCTTCCAGCTCAAATTTGGAGAGTCTGACAATGACAAAAATCTCACAAGATCAAGGATGGAAGCCAGCGGGCGCTGCACCACCACATACTCGCTCATCCTGCAAGCGACTTGAACAGTTGCACCGTTGCACGTGCCGTGTCGCCTATGCTTCTTCGCACCTGCCAAAGCTTCTTGTCATGCGCACTTTCTGCAGCCAGCCTGAAGCTTTTCAATTGAGGTTGCTAAGCAATGGCACTGTAGCTTGCTTGGCTGGCCTGGGTGATGATTGGTGAATCAACAAACCTGGAGATCACTTGTACTGATTTTGCTGGTTCTGACTGACAACCTGCCCATCCAGCAGCCTGCAGTCTCCATCACCTCATTCTCTTGCCCACCACGTCCTTGCTTGATTGCCATTTTAATGGCGCCGGCAAGTAGCAACACTCAACTCCCTGTTGCCGCTGCTCTTTCTTTTTTTCTTCAAGGGTGAAAGGGGCACTACAACCCCCCCAGGGCCCAGCCCTGCACCCGCACAGTCTCAGCGATCAATGCGTCGGGCCCCGGAGGACCGAAGCACACACGATCAAGACTACAGCGTCACCTCAAGCAGTCATAAATCAAGTACCATTCCCAGATAACACAGAGTAACTGCACCATAGCCCCAATCGTGTTTGCTTCCTTCTCCACAGGCTGTGAGACCTGATATGGGTGATCCTGAGCACGTCCCCATACACAGCACCTAACAGCTGCTCTTCTTCTTCTCCCGGCTATAGGATGCCCTTACGGCACCCCCGGGCGTCACCCCCGAGCCGCACACACGCGTACGGTTCTGTTTCGGCGCTGGGTGTATCGGTGTTCGCTGGATCGTACCCTCCCCCCCACCCGTCTTCTCCCCTTCTTCTAATCATCCCTATTATCCAGCGCACGTTTCCAAACCCAGTGGAAAATGGTCCGTCTTCTTCTTCCTCTTTTTCTGCTGGCTGCCACGCCCGAAGGGGCGAACCGGGATTACACCTCGTAGCCGCGCTGCGCTCCCCTGTATATGAACGAAAATTGTAGTCCTTGCAGCCACCTTCCCTAACCGCCAACACCATCCGCACCGCGCCGCGCTGCACCCCGTCCTCGCGGTCACCCTTCCGCCCAACGCCGCACACCACACCGCCACCCTCCCTACGCCCTCGCGGCCACCCGCCCTAGCCGCTGCCACCCGCGACGCACTGTGTCCATGCGGCCCACTTTCCCACCACCCTCTTGAGAAACCTAAAGAAGAACCCAACCCCAGAGGTGTTTTCAGGGAATAACCAGAAAAAAACTACTGGACAGCCTGCAGAGCAGCCCCGGAAGCTGTCGAAAAGCTGGTTAACATCTATATTTTCCTACTTTCAAGCTTCCGAGATTCCAGGCCCCGGCTCCCTTCCGATTTTAAAACCTGTTTTTCCCATGTCCTAAACATGTTTTTTGCTGTTTCCAACCTGCTCTCATCCCAGAAGGTTGGCCCCCAAACTCTCGCAGGTGGGGGGTCTGCGCCGCGAACCTAGGCCTGCGCTTCGGGTGCTGGTGACCCTTGAGGCATCCATCTTTTTCCTGGAGATATTTTGGAACCTTCCAGGCCTTAAGTAGCAGTGCCTGGCCACCACTACCTGGTGGCTACCATCTCTTCCATAGCACCCCACTGAATGTTTGGAACATTGAGGAGCAGAGTAAACTGAGCATTGCAAACCATGTTTGCAATGTTGCTACTCACTCTCTTTGGAGACCCTGTACAGAACCAACGATGCACGAACCGCAGAATTGTTGAGCGCATCTCGGCGCCTGGAATCTTAGTTTTGAATACATGCATAAAGTTATCCATCGCAGATTTCCCAGAAAGGTTTCTGATAGGTTTCAGAAACATCTTTTGATAGCTTTGGAGCAGGTTGAAAACAGGATTTAATTGTTTTTCATGCTTTCTAGAGAATGGCTGAACCACGCAGGTATAACACCAAACCCTTGACAACCCGGCGGAGGTTTTTGCTGGCAAAGGTGTGGCTCGACCCTTTTTTGCAGAAGCGTGGCTCCCTCATTTCCAAATTCGATAGACGACAGCATCTGCTGGTTCTTGGGAAGTTCTAAGCGTTTGCAAAAGGTCTCGCAACGCTCCAAAGAAGGTCCAGCAACAGCCAACGTGCCAACGTCAGCATTGTCCCTTTGTTTCCCTTTGCTCCCACCACCCCAAGAGCCTGCTCAGCTCCCCGACTCAGGACGGGCAGCGTCTCTGCACACTAGCGCTGCTGAAATGAGCCTTGCTGTCTCAATGGTTAGAAGAAGCTTTCGGTGGTCTGCAGCCCAACAGCCGAGGCAGGGTGCCTGCAGTGTCGTTTACAATTGCTTTCAAACTTGTTGATGCTGTTTCTTTGACACTCTCTTTGTGTGGCTACATTCTTATATGGCTCAGCTTGCCCAACGGGACTAAATGGTTTTGGGGCACCTTGCTTAATGTCAAGTTTTTCCCATCAGTAATTTTTGGCCTTTTGGAGCTTTGAACCTGCGAGTTTACAGTTTACGATGCTAAGTCTCAAGAAGTCCTGCTATGTGCAAGGGTTCCTACGCCCGACATCCCACTCTGCTGTTGACTTGACAATACACAAGCCAGCTCGAAGTCTAAGAGCTCCAATTAATGCCAATCACTGAATTTGCCTAGCCCTCAACAATTTTCTCTGGCACCCGGTCAATCGAGAATTGGCACCTTCTTTAATACGATTGTTTTCGTACCTTCTCTAGTGTCCACAAATGTGCGAGGCGCCTGACGTTCATTCATAGAGGCCTTCTTTGCCCTTAAAGAGGATAAAGAGGCAGGCCTCGTAGGCATCGAGCCAAGGAGCTGGGCAGGGTACAAACTTAAGTCGGAAGTCTCTTCAGCTCGTACGCACTCCCAAGCTCAATCCCGAGCTCACTACCAGTAGATATACTAGTACTAATACTTAATGCTAATCGTCGTACTAATGGCTATTTCTATTACTACTACCATTACCTTAAATATTACCATTTGTATCTTTAAATTACTGCTACTATTGCTATTACTATTTCCGTTACTATTACTAGTACTAGGTTGCAACTTAGTAGTTGCGGTTACCATTACACCATTTCAACTACTATTTTACCATTGCTGTTACTATCACAATTGCTATTGCTATTGCTACTCGTTCACTCTATGACGATTGCTATATACTATAACTTGTCCTATGACTCTTACTACTATAACTCCTACAATTGCTCCTTTTTCTGGAAGCACTAGCTTCAGGCCGCCCTCTATCACTATTACTATTGCACTTTCGATGTCTATTACTATGACTCCTACTATTAGTATTGCTTTTGCTATCAGTATGGCTATTGCCATTACTATTCTCGGAAAGCTTGCGCCGCCCTTAGGCGAGTCCAGTGTCCATCCAGGCTCATTGACCCAGCCCTTCTATATTCAGGATCAACCGGAAGGGACCTGGCGTCGAGGTGTCACCCATGCCGTACGCGTCCAGCCTGCCCATGGAGTGGGCAGGCTGGCACCTGCAAGCTTGGGAGGGGCAACACCTAATGAAAGGTAACATGTGGGCCCCCTGTGCCTTAGAACAAGGAGACACAGCGGCGAGGACGAGGTAACCCCGAAGTGAAGGGATCGAACCAGGGGTGCGAGCACCACCTGGCTGAGCCATGGCTCATAGGAAGCCACAATTGCTTCCAGCCTTCGCACCATCTGTACGACGTCCGTTCGCCGGTAAGGCCAATGTGTGCAACAGCGATATGATGTAGATGGGGTTGCTGGCTCTTACTCTTAATCTACTCTTACTACTCTTACTACTCTCGCTACTCTTACTCTTGCTCTTACTCTTACGACTCTTACTACCCTTACTCGTACTGTTACGCTCACTCTTACTGTCTATATCTCCATGTATGTATATTAAGCTTACTATTACTATTGCTACTACATTTACTGCTATTACTACAACTACAAGTACTCTATTTCAATTACTATGACTACTACTATTACTCTATTACCTGATTACGTTTCTACTAGTCCTCCTCCTCCGCCTCTCCTGCTGCTCCTGCTCCTTCTCCTGCTCCTGCTTCTCCTGCTCTCCGGCTGCTTCCGCTGCTGCTAGTGTTAGAAGTGCTAATGGCACAAGTATCACCAGACTGACCAACTCCCCCTGCCCGAACTGTTTAGAGGTACCGTTTCAAGAAGGTCAGGTCAAACTGCTGGCAGGGCGGGGCTGCATGGGGCTCGGGCCTGCATATGCTAAAGAAAGAAAGTGCCGTTGTAATTCTTTTGATCCCTATCAAATTGTTTTAGGTGGCACGTCCACT